CCATTTTAGTATACCTCCAAATATAGACAAGCCCTCACCCTTAATCATATTCTAGGTAGTGCATACTGATATTACTATAATCAGTGAAGCCACTCAAACTACAGTCCCCTTAATTCAAAACAGAGGCTGATGCTAAATAAGGCTGTTTGCTTTGTACTACACTAGTGCCATACAATCTTAACAGTTAGGTGTGCAAACATGATTCACAAGATATAAGATTTCAAAAGGAGTCCATAGTGTGTAAAATAGTGTTAAAAACATCCTGGCCCTTTGTGGTCTGAGTTCTTTGCAACAGAAGAATTGCTCTATTATTTTTCTGCAGTCAAAAAATGAGTGAAAATTAAGAGCTGGCATTTACCAAGTGGTGCCTTGCATCTATCAAGGGTTGCCTCAAGTCAAAGACGGTTGAGAACCACTGGTCTATGAGGTGCAAATCTACCCTGCCTTCTTCCTGACTTCAAACTAACATGGCTAACTACCTCTCGAAAATTATCGATTACCAGGGTTTTGCCCAGGAGGGCTATTTATTAAATAGAGACAGTGTCCAAGATGCATTTATTTTAAAAAATGAGTTCCCTTTTTAAAATACTGGAGTTATACCCAGTGAAAACTTACAGCACATTTTAGACATTTAATAAGCACAAAAAGAACATATACTATAAAAAAAATCTTAAGAATATTTATCAGATGCAGTTTTTGCTTACACATTTTAACAGGCCTAGTTAATTAAAAACAACTGAAAAAATAGGTACTTTCATTTAATGGGATGTAGAATCAAATTGCTCATTTACTCTCAAATCATACCATTTCATACAAATGAAGCAGACATCCATACACATCTGACATTTTTAGAAAGAGTTACAATAGTTTCTCTTTCAGAAATAAAACTTTTGTGTAAAGCAATCAAGTGATGGATTTATGGGTTATAATCTGCCAATAGATTCTTCTTCTCCAAAACAATAAAACAGAAATTGAATCTTAATACATGCCAGAGAAAACCATGTGCCTGAAAGGAGACAGAAAGATGTTCTCTAATTAACTCTTTCAATTGACCTAATGGACAATATTCACAAGTTCCATGGGAGTGTCATTTTCAGCTTGACTTCACTGGAGATAGAGTGATTGCAATACACATTAAAATGAATAACAGAGGGGAAAATATCTAGAAACTAGATTATTTAACACTGAAAAGACAGTTACAAATACTTGGACACAAGCACTTATCAGCTCACATCTGTCTTCTATTACAAAAGTAACTTTGACCAACATCTGTTATCTGTTACCCGAAACTACAATTCTGGTCTGCCCATCCACAGTTAGATACCCCTCTAACTTTCCATTAGATTTTTCTCACTTGCTTCTTGATGACCACAACCACACATGGAGACTGTTCTGGCTTTTACTTTGCCTCAGAAATGATAAATATTCACTGCTGGAATGATTATCACTACGAGAATCTTGTGTGTTCAGTGTGATATTAGTACCATGCCTGAAGGCCAGTAACAGCCTTCTAAGTAGAAGCAAAAATGGATAGATATAGGTTAACTTTTGCAACCAATAAATAAATGAATAAATAAAGGCTACCAGTTGACATTACGAGTTCTGTAAAGAGGAAGTTTATTCTTGTGAATATATATTTTAGAAGCAGTACAGGTATAGAGAAAAAGCTGTCCAACATAAAACTGTTTTTAGTTGCTTATAACTTTGCCAAACTTTAATCCTTTGGTTGAAATTTTTCCTGCTACATATCTGACGTGGAATTAAGTGATGTGGGTTATTAAGTTATGGGGGTACCCGAGACAGCACTAGGGGGTGCACGTGTATAGGCAGGAACAGAGTGCCGCCATGCAGCATCTCACGCTGCTGCTGCCCGCCTGGCTGGACGCAGGGGAAGCTCGCATATAACAGCTGCTGCCACTCCACATCTGGCTGTGTGCCACCCCTCTGCTTGGTGGCCAGGGGTACACTGATCCGTGTCCAGCCACCAGGGGGTACAATGATGCAAAAAGTTTAAAAACCTTTAGAGCAGTGGCTCCCAAACTCAGCATAACCCCATTTCCTCAGGTGTGACCCCTTGCTCTCCACCCACAACACCCTGGCCCTGCCAGTGCCCCTCACTCCTCTCCCACAGCCTCCCAGACCTGCTGGTGTCCCAGGACCAGGGTCTGCAACCCCCTGGTCATCCCGGTTGCTCCCTGCAGGAGACAGAGGCTGCTGCACCTGGAGCAGAGCACAGAGCCTAGCTCCCCCCACATCCCTTCCTACGTGGGCAGTACAGCTGGAGAGAGCCTGTGGGGTGAGGGAGGATGTGGGTTGCCCACTGTGGGCTTGGGGCCCCCCACCCTGCTGCCCTCCCTCCAGACTCTGCGGTCCAGGGGGCAGGACCAGTGCAGAAGGGAGTGCCGCACTGCTATGGCCGCAGAGCTGAGGTGCCTCCTGCACATCTGGCAACAGCAGGGACACAACTCCATGCCACTGTCACTGCCGTGCCTCACCCTGGTAGCCATGATAGCGTGGTGCTCCCTCCCGCACTGGGTCCTGTCCTTTGGGCTGTGGATGCGGCTTCTGCCTGGAGCTGGTCCAGCCCAACTGTAGCCCCACACCCGACTGTGGGCACAGAAGTCTTGGGAGGCACATGCCCTGCCCCACCAGGTTGCCTTGGCCCCCCTGCCACCCTCTGGTATGTTGTCTGGGGGCCTCCATGCCCCCATTGTGTTGCCTACCCCCCGCAACACATCACCTGTGCCCCCTACCTCCCCTGCCCCTGTAGACTTACCTGGAGGGAGCTGTGGAAGCTGCTCTCCACCACTGCTTGGCTGCCACATGCATGTGCACATGCACAGGGTGACTTCTGCCTCCCACTGCCCTCCCCGCTTCTCCCAGCCCCATGCAGGTTGGTACTCTGCCAGCCTGCAAGAGGAAACCTGTGTTTTCCCATGTTATTCTGTTTTAAAGGAGAAAATCCATGTTTTACTGCAGCATATAAAAAACCTGGATCCCTGTTTATCATAACCCCATTGGCTGATGTTGCAACCCACAGTCTGGGAACCACTGTCTTAGAGAAACCTGCATAGATTAGATCAGGGGTGGGCAAAATGTGGCCCACATGCGGCCCGCCAGGCCATCCTATCCAGCCTACAGGCCCCCTAAAAAATTTAGAAAGTTAATATTTATCTGCCCCTGGCTACATGTCACGCAGCCCTCGATGGCTTACCAAAACTAAGTGGCCCTTACCCAAAATAATTGCCCGCCCCTGGATTAGATTGATTCTGCCTCAGGCTTTTTTTACTGCCAATACTTAGCCTTTTTCACTTGCTTTTTGACTACAGAATAATAATATAGCAATTCTTCTGTTACAAAGAACTCAGAAAGACCACAAAAGTCAATGTTTTTGTCACTACAGATTCCTAAAAATGAGTGAAAAATGAAAGCTAAGTACCGGCATTTTCCAAAGGGATGCCTGAGTCCAAAATTTTGAAAACTACTGATCTACAGATTCTAATACTTCTTTTAAATGATATGGGTGTTGATTCATAGCTTGTTAAGTGCTGGAAGGGACAAGGTCCAGTCACCCTGCATGGATGATGGAATTCGTTGTTTCATTTTTTTCTTTATAAAGTTAGAAAACTACAGATTAAAATATGCTGAAGTTTCAAACTGAAGCACTCAGAAGTTAGAAAATGCCAGCACTAAGTTCTCTGTTCAATGTCAATTTTCTTTAAATGTAGTTTTTGGGTAATACTAAAATAAACTTGGCCTTGAAAGGACACACACATATGGAATATGAGTGACAGCCATAAAGGATTATCCTTTGCACTACAACCCTCTTACACTGAGGGAACAGCAAGCTGATTCAAGGACTTTTTTCAATACTCAAAACTAATAGGAAAACAACCAGCAGAGATGCATCTTTCAGACTTCCATCATCAAATCTGTTCTGTAAACAAAGCTTATTTTGAAGATATCTGTAATATAAAGAATCTGTTTATCTGCTGTGCAAAACCTAGCTAGAGAACATGCAGTCTTTTACGCAAACACTGCATCTACCAGTGTTTAATTACATTTGTATCCAAGACATTAAAGAATCTATCTTAACTTTTTAAAATAAAAGGAACGTAAGTAAATATGCACCATATGATCACCAGGGGAGCCAATCTAAGCTCCTAGTTAGTGGATTAAAATAACATACAACCTTTAGTTTTATGAGAAAATTGTAAACAGTGAAAAGACTGGTTTAGATTATTAGGGCCCCCTCTACACGTCACAGGTATCATGCAATTAACTGCTTAATTATGCAATTACCTTAAAACCAGTTACACGTGCAAAGTACTTATCGCATGATAAAAAGCTCCAACCAGCTATAAAGTTAGACCTCAAAAATGTGTAGTACCTTTATAGCTGGTTGCTATCAAGCTTTAATTTGCATGTGAAACAGGGTCTCTCCATGCAGCTAGAAGCCCGGTCAGCTGAAACCCAGGGCTGGGGGACTGAGGCAGCTGCGATCCCCAAGGGTTCGGGGTACATGAAACCCCAGAGCCCACGAGACCAAGGCAGCCATGATCCCCAAGGCTTAGAGATGCATGAAATCCCTGAGCCTACACACACAGCTGGGAGTGTGAGTCCCACACCTGATGTGGCACAGCTGGGACCAAGAGCCCTGTCAGGTACACGACTCAGCCCTGGCTGTGTGTGGGGCCTGCACCTGGGAGCCCTCTCAGCAAAGGGGGCTCTCAGTTGTGGGAGCCTGCTTCTTCCAGATGCAGGGGAGCCCAGGATTGGGATCCCTCTACATTGGCAATGAGGTGTAATTGGATTTAATGCACAATCCACACAATTGCGTATGGCACGATTGTATCGATCACGCATTAGATCAAGTTGTGCCTGCATGAGTTCTACATGTGCAAGCATAAAAGGGGCCTAACTAAAATCAGACTACAACTATTTTGAACAATTTTTTAAAAAGCTTAAGTAAAATCGTCAAGTCTGATCAACATACTCACCATTACCATATGGAAATGCACGAGCAGAGCGACCGTCATAACCGGACGAATGTCCACTGTTGAACAGTAAATAGGCATTAGTGTCCTGTTTTAATACTGTCTTGATTCATGAGCATAATACCTAATTTTATTCTTCACAATTTTTACAATTGACTAAAACAAGCTATGTTAAAAGAGGACATACTTAAATTCTCCTTTTTAAGCATTAATTTAAAAGAGCAATTTAATTACCAATTGCATTCAACACAGAAGTCATATATACATCTATATTATTTATTGTAATGGCCATGTTAAAAATCATATTAATATATAATTGCTCACAATTTTTAACATTTGTTTCTAAAACACACTAAAACAAATGTTCTCTATTACATATAAACTATTCTGTCCTATCTTTATAATTTCTATTTCAAGATGTAGCTGATATTTCAAGAAAAAACACTTTCAAAACATGCTTGAAGAGATGCTCTAATATTACGATACCCACTCTATTTAGTCTTCATTGTTTTTTCTCCCCATTTCAACACACTGCTTCAATTCCAAGAAAATTCAACAAAATTGGCAAAGAAATCAAACTCCATGCCCAAATGCTTGGCAACAAGCAAATCTATGAACGAAACTTTCCTCATACTCTTCCTGTTAAATAAGTGAATCTCTTTATTTTTCTTACACATGTATAAAAAACAGGTGAGCTTCAATGGCTTGTTCTATAAATATTCTGAATCAATTTCACATTTTCATGATGTACTTCTTGCAATGGCAGCCAGTTTAAATAGGTAAAATATAGAAAGGCTGAAAAGGACAATATGCAGAAAGAGCTTAATTCAACTTTCAATCATCTCTGATAAGTTTTACTGCTTCCTAGAGAGCTTGAATTAATTATCTTCATCTTATTCAACATATTTACTTATGTGCTACTTTTTCTGAAAGTCAACCAGAGTGTAAGAAAACTGTTGGATCAGTTTGGTTTTAAACAACTCTATAATGAAAGCCTTATGCAATATCTCAATATGTTAAAACATTCGTAAAGATTATATTAAAACCTTGTACCTCCATCAATGATAATTTTCTCTTTTACAGAAATTATACTGTACTGAACAGCCTGTATAAAATATTCCCTACATTAATAAAAAAATAGTAATTAAAAACCACAACAATCCAAAACCACAAATTCCTCAGGCCTCTGTAAACAGTACCTTGTATTAGCTTTGTTCTCTTTAAAGACAGAGCCATAATAAAAGAACTTTGCTAACATATAAAACAAAACCCCAAATCATCTGTGTTAAGACACACTGGAGGAAATCAGAGGATTTCCTCAAAGATTTCACAACACTATCCTGGAAGGTGGGTAGGTAGTTTGCTATTTTGTGCTATACAGTACAAAAGAGGTTTGAGGACCTCTCGTAAATCTGGTGGATTTCAAGGAATCTGCAAAAAGCTAGAGCCAACTGTACAGTAGTCTTATGCTTGCACTCCAGCCTTGATCCCTTACACTACCTGCAAAGGACATAAACATTAAGTAGGGGGTGCACCAATAGAGATTTTGGGGGCTGATACTAATAGCCAATTTTTAAAGAGGCATATTGGCTGATCCCGATCCGATTTCTGATACGTAGCCCTTCTTCAAACTTGAAGAGCTGTGTGCAGCTGTTAAGTCTGTTGTGGTAGAAGGGGAAGAAGGAACAAAGAGGCATGGGGGGGGGGGGGGGGAGGCCGATCAAAGCCCCTGCGGGGGGGGAAGAAGGGGGCGGGGGG